ATGCGCACACATGCACACACGCATACGTGCACACACAGACTCATGCTCACATGCGCGCACGCACACATGCACACATGCACATGCAGGAAGACAGACACACAGACACACAGACACACACACACACACACACACACACACACACACACACACAGAGGCTCGCACATATCCACACATTCACAAATGCACATATGCGCACATGCACACACGCGCACCTCACACATGGACACATCCGCACACATTTTTACTGAAAAGCATGCCTTAACCCTCCTCTCAACACACACAGACGCAACAATGGGTGAGCATAGCCACGACGAGAAACATCTGGAACCAGAGCAGCGCGCATTGCACACACGTCTTGCCTTCGCCCTCAGTGCTCTCGATAACCACTCCAGCTGGACACATGCCGCAGGCGACGAGAAGGCCAGATCGATGGGGGAGAGCACACTTGCATGCGTACCTGTCCCTTTCGTGTCATCCCCTGCTCGTATTTCCTCGAGTGTCAAAACAGAATCCCCAAATCCGTTCTCGCGCACCTATGGGCCACGATAGGAAGACAAGGGGGGAAGAAGCGCACGGGCAATAATGAAGCAGACGCCCACGAAACAGTACATAGTGCCTGGACTGTGTACCTCGCCCTTCAGGGCTGCTTTGGGCTCAACTCTCCATGCGATGGGCCCAGCCTCAGCGCCCCCAGGTTTGCTGCTGTTCCGCTATAAGCTTGGAAGCATCACGCCCTACGCGTGCGCCACCGGCACCAAGCCTGGATCCACCCCCCACCACCCCGACACCTCGTTATTGTGTCCACCAGCTTCTTCCACCAGCTTCTTCGACCCGATAGCTTACCCACAAAACACTCCCCACCTCCGCTTCCCCCATCCCCTGGGCTCCCAGCTGCCCCATCCGCCACTCCAGCCCTGCCCTCGCCTCTGCTGCTCGCAACATAGTCATGACGGGCGTGCATCTTCTTTCAGATAAAAATGTTACTCTCGACACCATTCTTTGACCATAGAACATCCACGCTTTTCACATGCCCAGAGCTTTAACCTGTGTACCCTGCGCATAAACTTCCACACACTCAAGTCTCAACCCAATCATGACTTGACACTCATCTAGCTAGCAACCTGCCTGGCCTGTCACCAGTTTTATAGCTTCTCTTTAAACAGCTGCAATCTCGCACACAAGGCTTGTTATACGACTCTCACTGCACTCCTCTTCTGGTGGACTCGAATCGAGGCTTAGTGCAGCCCAAGGTTGTTGATCGCACCTAGCCCAAGGTTGTTGATCGCACCTAGCCCAAGGTTGTTGATCCGCTTAAACCCATGCACCTGCAATAGCTTCAGAATTCAAACTTAGACCACTATCCACTTAAACCCATGCACTCAAAGCGTCCTTTTGAGTCGACTCATAGTCATCCCACTCGGCCTCGCAGGAGCCCAGTGAGTTTAGCGTGTTGTACTAAAGGCTGGCATCACCCACTGCTGCCATTCTCTTGCTGTCAATCCTGGACATCCGCCCCGCCCATCCCAACCACTGCATCGCCTGCTGGAAGTGACTCCAGCTGTGCAGTCCGCCAACCCCACGTACTGGGCTGAATGTCGAGTGCCACCCCACGCCCACAGTGTACCACCACGGCTCCTCTCCTAACACTGGTGCAGACCGGGCTACCTTTCCTGCGAGCTTCCTCCTCCACGCCGGTGCCGAGGGAGCCTTTGCACGCCTCAATTCCGCCCCTGCCCCGCCCAGATCTTTCCTCTGCTGGCGAATTCTTTTGGAGATTGCAAGCATGAGCACGGGTTGGAGTCAGGCTGAGGAGGACCGCGGACGAGCCGGGGCAGCTCGGGATGCAATGTCGCAAAACAAGAGACCTTGGCCACTATCTTGAATCAATTAAGACCCCGCTTCGCCACCCACCTTGTATAACTTCACGTTCATCACTGCAACAGGCCTTCGAATTTTGAGTTTAAGCTTATCAAATTACACCGCCTTTGTTGACATCACCAGCTGTACCAATTGATGCACGGACCACATGAGAGGGGGGAGGGGGAGGAGGGCGTACGAATTGCAGCAGCGTGTCGGCCCAGTCGTTGATGGACTTCCACAGGATGAGGCACCGCGTTCGACTGCGATCCGTCCACTCTGCCCGCCCTGGCACACGGGGGGAGGCCGCGCACAGGAGGAAATGCACAGTTTCGCTTCATGGGAAACGAGTGGAGGAACGAAGCTTATGGGAACAAAGCGCCTTAATCCTTGAACGAGTGGGAAAACGACTGGATGATGGCCATCGGAGGCGATGCATTGAGTGGAGAAAGAATGACGGCGATGCTGTTGAGAAGGAATGGGAGCGGAAGGAATAATGTATGCGCCTAGAAAGATGGGCGTAGAGAGCACAGCAACGTTGCGGCCATGTGAGCCTTGTGCAAGAGATTGGGAGTGAGCTTACCTTCTGCCACGAGAGCCTCGAGAAAGACCTGCCGTGCTTCGAACGTCAGTTTGCCTGTCGTAATTGATTCACGCACACACAGGGTGAAACAGGAAATTGGGACATGAATCGAGAGAAAACAGATGTGCATCGAGCTGAGTCAGGGGCGAGGAACAGGTGAGAAACAAACGCATCAAAGCTGAGTGCTGGGAGGTCAAGAGCAGGGAGCTCTCAACCCGAATATTCCCTTCCCCCATCAGCTTGGATTTCCAACCTCCCCACGCTTCCCCAACTAGACGCGCCATGCCCCCTCCACTCTACGCCTGTCAACACCCACCCACCCCTTGCGTTATAACACACCTTGTAATCGATACGGCAACCTTTTTAAGAGTGTGTAAGAGAGAAGTGGGGGGGGGGGGGGGTGCAATAGTTGCGAGATATCTAAGGGTGAAGGTTCTACCCATGCCCCCATTCTCATACACAAGCAAAGAACCATCCCCAAGCCCCATGTCACCTCCACCTCGACACCCATTTCCCCCATTCACCCCTTGCCTCCGTCCCCCCCCTCCTAACCCTCCTCCGGCCTCGTCCCTCTGCTTCTCCCTCTCAACATTCACCAGCACACGTGCGTTGTGACCCGCCTGCCCAACCCATCTTCCCTCCCCGCCCCTCCAAGCCCTCACGCTGGATGGCGGGGTGGTGGAAGAGGGGGAAGTGGTCGAGGGACACGAGCAGCGTGCGGTGGTGGCGGCACCACGCCACGATCAGCTCCGCCCACAGCCGCACCTGCCGCTCTCGCGTCGCCTTGATCGGCTGCAGCCTGCCACCCCCCGCCAGTGCCGCCCAGTGGGTTGGTCGGCCGTGATGATTGTTTTGTGGTGGGGGGGCGGGGGGGTGGGGGGGGGGGGGGTTGGGGGTATGAGGGAGGGAGGGAGGGAGGAAGGGAAAGGCACGCAGAAGCAGATGAATGCAGTGCGGATATGAAACCAGTTGAAGCAATCAAACGGATGGAATGATGTGGAAATGGAGTGAGCAGCAACGTGGGGCTGGGCAGGAGTGAGAGGTGCAGCAAGGTGCGGCGCGGTGACGCACGTGAAGTAGGGAGGGTAGTCGTAGAAGCGTGGCAGGGAAAAGGTCGTGCTGCTCGCCGGCGCTGCTGCTGCTGCTGCTGCGCCTCCCTCCATGGCACCGCAAGGAGGGATACAGTGATGGGAGGGGTGGACGATGGTGAGAAGAAGAGTGCTGCTGTAAAGGAACCTGGAGGTTGATATAGCCTGGTAGAAAGGGATAGGGCGGCAGGGTAAAGTGGTACAAATGTGGGATAAGAATACTGGCTACCCATGCTCAAACTGTTTCAACTGATCGCTATTCGTTACAAGGTGAACGAAGGCGTGTATGAGCATGACTTGAACCAGGTGTGCTGACCTTCAAACACTCGCACTCAAACATTAGAACCGATGCCAAAATGAGCGACCCCGTATCTGTCTCACTCGTATTCGGAATGTCATACACACTATCAATCTCACATTCCCCTCACTCTCACATATTCCCACTCACTCTCTGACTTACACAATTTCCTTGTACTCCTTCCCTCTCACAACCTCTCACGCTCTGACGCACCAACTCGCACCCTCGCTCTCACACCCTAACTCTCTCGCACGCTCACAGTCCCTCCCTCCCGTGTTCTCCTGCACACACTCACGCTCTCAGCCACCCACCTCGGAGAGCGAGGTGAAGAAGATGATGGATGGAGACGAGGCTTGCTCGATGGGGATATGCCGTGTCGCTTGGGTGAGTTGCAGGGTGAACAAGGGATGGGAAAGCACAACGGGCGAATCAGAGCGAAAAATGAACTGGGTGGGGAGGAGGGGGGGAAAGAGGGGGTGGGGAAGGGAAGGGTTGGGGGGAGGTTATCCCCCGTCCTCTGGGAAGGGGAGGGGACCGGGCAACGTCATGGGGGGGATGATCAACGCGGGGGAACGAAGGCATTTGCTCGAGTGGGGAGAGGCGACGGCAAGAGAGGAAGAAGAGGCGACGACGTGGGGAAAGAGGAGAGGCGACGGCGTGGGGGAAAGAGGAGAGGCGACGGCGTGGGGGAAAGAGGAGAGGCGACGGCGTGGGGAAAGAGGAGAGGCGACGGCGTGGGGAAAGAGGAGAAGCGACGGCGTGGGGGAAAGAGGAGAGGCGACGGCGTGGGGGAAAGAGGAGAGGCGACGGCGTGGGGAAAGAGGAGGGGCGACGGCGTGGGGAAAGAGGAGAGGCGACGGCGTGGGGAAAGAGGAGAAGCGACGGCGTGGGGGAAAGAGGAGAGGCGACGGCGTGGGGAAAGAGGAGAAGCGACGGCGTGGGGGAAAGAGGAGAGACAACGGTGTGGGGAAAGAGGAAAAGCGACGGCGTGGAGAAAGAGGAGAGGCGACGGCGTGGGGAAAGAGGAGAAGCGACGGCGTGGGGAAAGAGGACGTTGAGGCGATGGCGGATGGGAGGAGAGAGTCGACGGCGGGGAGTAGACGCGAAGTAGGGCGTGCGAAGTAGGGGGAGTGCGGAACGTGAGAGAATGAGGTGCCAGCGAGTGAGGCGGCATAGCGTCTGCCCTTGGAGGGAGTGGCGCCAGGGATCGCGCGTTTGCACCAAGCCCCTACCGCGGGCGTGCTGACGTCAGCAAACGCGCTCTAGGCGTCAGAGCCCAAAGAGTCTTGCAAAACCCCGCGAGCACCATATAGTCCCATCGCATAGAGCAGGATAAATCTGTTATTACCTTGTACGGGAAAGGCGATTCACATGATGACTGGGACTAGCTTTATTAGTTGAAGGCCTTCACATCTTTCACAAAGTATTTCCTCGCTATAGACTAATCTGCCCTTCTGATGTTATACAATAGGCTAACAAACCTGACAAAAAAACACCTTATATGATTCTAAGCATATACATTACATTGGCTTGTGAAGCTGGAACGGTTGCAATGTATCGAGGTAGCGATGATTGCACTAAGTTGGCAAACGAGTACAATTGTGAGCGAAAAAAGTGAGCGAATATTTATAGTCAAAATAAGCAAACGGTTACGCTTCTCGTGCGAGCTAGCTATTGCGATGCTGGCAGAGAGGTTCGAGCTAGTCCCAAAGCATAGGCCGACTCAAGCCAGGCCGACGATGCATGATTTGGGAAATGTGAGGCGCGATGGCAGCAAAGCACCGCTAGCAGTAACGGGCGATAAACAGTTGGTTCTGTACGCAATGATTGTTGGGCTGAAAAGCCCTTAGGATCTTTGCAAGGGTGAACTCTAGGTAAAGTTGGTGTAGAGGCGGAAGCGTTTAATAAGGAGTTGTGAACCACCTTGTGCTAGTATGTGAGGGCAAAGTAAATTGATTAAAACAAAAGAGATACAAGATTCTATATGAATACACGGAATATGAAAAAGACATAGTTATAACTACTTTACTGTTGCTCTTGCGGTTCGATACAGTGACGACTCGGGCAACTGCTATGTAACGAGTCAGTTGTGTGTCCTTGCTGTCGCGCTGTACTTGTCAGTTCAAAGGTCACTGACCTTTGACTTTCGCGTAACCTCCAGCGGTTACTTCAACCTCCGAGGGTTGACTCGCTGGTGCCTCGATATGCTTTGCTTCGCTTGTGCCTTAGTGTTTCGGCACGACAGAGGCGCTTAGGAACGATTGTTTCCAACACTCCCCCTTTCTTTTGGAGTGTCGCTGACGTGGCTCTGTCGAGTCAGCACCATGCAGTATTCAAACTTCTGCTTTCCGAGCTTCTTGGTCAGGTAGTCAGCTGCCATCTCGGACGTGGGGCAGTATGACAGCTCAAGCCTTCCCTTCTCGATCTCGTCCTTCACGAAGAAATATCGCAGGGCGATATGTTTCGTCCTGTTTGCGAAGCCGTTCTTGTTGGCGATGCGAATTGCCGACTGGTTGTCGCAAAACAGGGTAAAGTTGTGTAACTCGGCTAACTTCGCTTCTTCCAGCAGCTCGCGAAGATAGGGTCGTTCCTTGGTGGCTGAGCAGAGTGCAATATATTCTGCTTCAGCTGACAAGAGAGCAATTAGTTCTTGCTTGCTCGATTGCAGGAGATAGGTCCGATAGGCTCGAGGCGGTAGATGTAGCCGGAGCGTGATCGCCTGTTGTCGGAGTCGCCCGCGTGATCTGCGTCGACGTAACCGATTAGCTTAGGTGTTGTAGTTGCGTTCTTATGGTAAATCAGTCCGACCGTCGGGGTACTGACAAAGTAGTGAAGAGCGCGGTCAAGCTCCCCTAGATGTTCCGCTTCAGGCTTCTTGAGGTAGGTGGCGAGCAAGCTTGCAGAGTAGGATAGATCTGGGCGGCAAGTGACGGCTGCGAAGAGAAGGCAGCCCAACATTCTCTGGTAGTCGCGTATGCCGGCGGGATTGACTAGAGTGGAGCCTTCCTTGTTGCTTGATGTCGTTTAGCGATACGATGTGGAGGTAGCAGTCGGTGTGAGTGCAAAACGCTTGGCGATGGTGTCGACGTATTTCGCGGCACTGAGGTAGATAGTGTCTTCTTCTTCCCGGATGTTGAGGCCGAGGTACTGTGTGACGGTAGATGAGACCGTGAGTGTGAGGTCTTGTTGTAGCTCCCCTTCGAGCCACGTTTTAATGCCGTCAGTTGAGCCGATGTAGAGCAGATCGTCTACATAGACGATTAGCAGGATGTAGTCGGTACCCTTCGTGAGCCGGTACATGCCCTGGTTATGCGGCAATTGCTTGAAGCCAATGCGAATCAGGCGACCGTGTAGATATTGTTGCCATAGTCGCGGAGCTTGCTTGATGCCGTAGAGTGACTTGAGTAGTTGACAGACGTGGTTTGAGTCCATGCCGGAGCCGTGTGGTAGCTAGACGAAGATCTCGGCGTCAACAGGTGCGTAGAGGAATGCGTTAGCGGCGTCGATTTGCCGCAACTTCTTCTTCTTCATGGCGACGATCGCGAGAAGGATGCGTATTGAGGTGTGTCGGCTGATCGGAGCGAATGTTTTGGTGAAATTGCGTCCGTGCTCTTGGTCGAAGCTGCGTACGACCCAGCGTGCCTTAAATTTGTCGATGGTGTCGTCAGCCTTTGTCTTCACACGGAAGACCCACTTCCCGGTGAGTACTGTCTTGTTCCGTGCCACGCTGATAGGAACCACTTTCCACGTGTTGCGTTCCTCTAGTGCCTTCAACTCCTTGTCCATGGCTTCGCGCCATTTTTCCTTATGTTCCCAACCCAGAGCCTGCTGAACCGTCGCAGGCTGTTTAGGAGGGTTGGAGCCGTGGACTGCGGTGACGAGTCCGAGAATCTGCACTCCACTCTGTTAGTAGCGGGGAAGATTTACATCCTCGGGATAAGCTGCTTCATCTCCCGCTTCTAGATCGGGTAAGAAAATTGGTCCTACTCGTTCTGCTTCGTTGGTGTTGACTGTCGCAGGTGTTAGATATAACGAGAAACGAGAATGAATGAACTATGAAAGAGCTGGATACAAGTGCTAACCCTAATTGGGTTGTACCCTTTATGGGCTACCCCACTACAACCTACACAAATAGATAAGCTATAATGTTCTGACACACCCCCATAGGCAAAGTGGGGGAGAACAAGTGGTCACAAGACCAGTCAAGCAAAGCAAGCTCAGGGTCGATCACAACGTCACCACACAGTACGAGCACAAGAGTAAGGCCACAAAGCCAGTTCACATGCAAGATCATATATATAAAGGTAAATAAGCAAGTGCAGGTATAGAAAGAGTACAGTACAAACAAGATTAACAAGTGAGGCCAGGTAGGCACAAGACCTAACAAAGTACAGAAGCGCTGATGATCACAAGGCGGAAGATATCAGCAGTGTTGGCCTCAGAGGCCACGTAGGTGAGGCGGAGCTGACCACGCTGCTGCATCTCACGAGTCAGGAAGTAGCGGAGAGCAATGTGCTTCGTTCTGTGCTCCAATCTGTGCTCCCGACACAAGGCCAACATGACCTTGTTGTCTACGTATAGAACTGGAGGAGAACGAGGCACCTCTCCTAGGTCAGTCAGCAGGTAGGTGAGCCAGCGAAGCTCCTGTGCAGCCATGGCCCCTGCGTAGATCTCAGCCTCACAGCTGGAGTTGAGAACAGAAGACGAGCGGGTAGACCGCCACGAAACAGAGCCGGAACCAAGGCTGAAGGTATAACCCTGTGACGACCGCTGCAGAGCCTGGTCGTTAGCCCAAGAAGCGTCAACGTGACCTGTGAGGACCACATGACGTCACCCTCCAAGCACTAGCCCCATGCCCGATGTACTGCACACGTAGCACAACACCCTCTTCGCAGCAGCCATGTGCTCTGGTCGGTGTCTCCAAAAAGCAACATAGCGTGCCAAGACGCTAAGAGGGTATGCAAGGTCAGGTCGTGTGCAGGTCATCAGGTACATGAGACAGCCAACAAGCTCTGGGTACGAGCCACTCGGCTCTACGGACTCATCGGAAGGCAGAGCTGAGAGCGAGTGGCGAGTAGACAGAGGAGTGGCCTGAGGCGAGGAGTACGTGAAGTCGAAGCGCTGAAGGACCTGCTGCACCATGTGTGACTGAGTCAGGGTAATGGTGTGGAGTGCTCTGTCCTGGGTGATCTGCAAGCCAAGATAGCTACGTAGTTCACCCAGGTCTGTGCACGTGTGTCTCTTCTGCAGCTCGGACTTCACGTGGGCTAGTCCAGCAGTATCAGCTGTGGCAAAGACCAAGTCTTCGACGTACACGAGGATGTAGAACGGCGGCAAAGACGTGTCGGTGCGCAGAAACAGCAACGGGTCGGATGTAGAAGGAGCAAACCCAAGAGCCGCAAGTGTAGTCCTCAGTGTGTCGTGCCACTTACGGGGCGCCTAGTGGAGACTGTAGACTGGCCGCCGGAGGCTCCACAGGGTACCAGGAGGAAACGACCCAGTGAAGCCAGGTGGGCGGCGCACCCATATCTCCTCGTGCAGGCTGCCCTACAAGAAAGCTGTGCTGAAGTCAAGAGAGTGAAGGTCGTAGTCGCGCTGAGCGGCTATGTGCAGCAGCACCCAAAGAGTGGTCATCTTCAAGGTGGGAGAGAAGGTCTGAAAGTAGTCAACTCCCTGCCGCTGACTGAAGCCTCGAGCCACGTGACGCACCTTAAAGACAAGTGGAGAACCGGGCGGCCGCTTCATTCTGCAGATCCAGATGCTACTGATGATGTTCGCCCCAGGTGGGGGAAATTTATCAACGTAGGTGCCTGTGGACTTCCAAAAAGCCATCTCTGCGTCCATGGCCGACTGTCACTGAGAGGAGTAGGGAACCTCGATCGCCTCAGTGTACGATCGAGGAGTCGGGATGTCTGGTGCATCCGGGTCTCCCTCAAGGGCAATCAACGTGGACACGAGATGAGGCAAAGCAGCAGCAAAGCACTAGAACTCCTCCTGCCTGTCCTCAAGGACGTCCGTGGTAAGAGCACACTCACCCCCGACGGACGGAGGACAGACAGACTCACACTCAGCAACAAGACTAGCAGCGTAGTCTAGACAACAGCGAGCAGCAAAGTTGACAAGCTCAGCAACTAGGGCAGAGACAGCAGTGGACTCAAAGGAAGGGTCAGTGAC